AGCTGTTGTTTTCCCACTCGGTGATGGGAATATTTCCTCCTATAGCATGATGTCCACAGAGACTGGTTCTCATCACCTCTAACTGGTTTTCCGGACTCCCTGGGGGATGGAGGGGAGCCCAAATGGTTAAACTCTTGGTTCTCCGCTGAGAGGTTATCAGTTCAAACCCGGGCTGGAAATAAAGGCCTGGTGGTCTGCTTCCAAAAGATCCCAGCCTTGAAAACCCAACGGGGCAGGTGCACTGTGACCTGGGAATGGACCCCCTGGGCAGCGGCTTGGGTTTGGATGAACCTTTTTCTCTGGGCTTCCCGCTTCCTGCTGGGTCCGGCTGATGTAATTCTCCGTACAACCACGAGATGGCAGCCGGAGGAGGGCTGCGGAGAGCCAGCGGCGCAGAGCGGGCAGCCGGTGGGGAGGTGGAGGAGCTGAAGTAAGCAGGAAGGATGGAGGGTTGAGGGGGACACCGTTCCACGTGCTTGGTGGCCCTGCGTGGCTCTGGGACCTCGGCCGAGCTGTTCAACTACCCAAGGCAAGCTAATCGGCATGCTCAAAGTTATATACGAAACTGCTTGGCAAGTTTCATCCCGGGGATGGAGGAAGCAGGGGACCTCACCCCTGTACCTGTACCTGCAAGGATGGGAAGTGGGGGGGCGTGAAGGGGCCTGCCCGGGACAAGGCGGGGGATTCTGGGAGCAAGACCTTGGAGATACAAGGAGACCCCTCTAAAATGCCTTGAAGAGAAATGGAGGTGCCTTGGGAGAGACCACAGAAGCACGGAGTCCCGAGAGCAGGCTGGGCAGACATGTTTAAGGAAGCAGCTGTGGACTGGATGGAGAAGGGCCATGGGAGCTTGATTTCAAGGGGAGTCGGGGAAGCAAAGGGAGGGGCAATGGGGGCCAGAAAGGGATAATAGCTCAGGGTGACTCTTTTGCTCGGCTATGACGTCTAGAAGTGCCTTCTGGCAGTGCTGGCCCAGGACATGATGGCTTCTGGATGGAAATGGGCAATGGACTGTATCCTGGCTCCACAGCTTCCCGGGGTCTGCACCAGCTGGGAAGAGAGAAACGCAGGTGAGAGAGTAATGCTTCCTGGAGGGGTCGGGCCATTGATTCAGAGAGTCCAGAGGAAGGAGGGGACACTGGCTAGGAGGGTTACTACTGTCTGAGACCTTTTTTTTTTTTGGTGAATCCACAAGCAAGGAGCCCTCGTGGGGAGGTAGTTAAGGACTCATCTGCTAACCCGGAGGTCCGCAGTTCAAACCCACCAGCTGCTACACAGCGGAAAGAGGTGGCTGTCTCCTGCTGCCCAGACGACAGCCCTGGAAACCTGTGGGCAGTTCGCTTCCATCCTGTAGGGTCAAGAGGAGCAGGAACCGGCTTGGCGGCAGGGAGGCCATGGGTCACAGATAATAATGTCCGTCTGCACAAGCAGTGAGGACGTCAGAACAGTGGTTCTCAACCGGTGGGTCACGATCCCTTTGGGGGTCGAATGACCCTTTCACCCGGTTCATCACAGTAGCAACATGACAGTGATGAAGTAGCTTCGAAAATAATGTCATGGTTGGGGAGTCACCACCCCAGGAGGAACTGTCTGAAAGGGCCGCGGCATGAGGAAGGTGAGAACCCCTGCTCTAGAAGGAAGTGGTGATTTGTTTGAAACCTCAGTTCTCCACTGGGGGCTGATTTCGCCTCGCTGCCTGGCATGTAGCAATGTGTGACCTTTTTAAAAACATTTTAAAAACATTGTGGGTGAAGGTTTTACAGAGCAGCTCATCGGGGCAGCCCCTTCAACGTACCAGCACATCACCCCCTCACTCCCTGGACTTCCTGTCTCCACCCCTCCTTCTTGGTCCGTGGGTCATAGACTTGGGGGTTCCACCAGTCTCTAGCCAACCGCTAAGCCTGGCTTCTTTTCAGATCATTTTGAGTTTCAGTCCACATTTTTTCCCCGTCTACTCTACCCAGGACCTTCTCATGGGATCCCTTTCCGAGCAGCAGGCAGTGGTGGCCGGGCACCATCTAGTTCTTCTGGTCTCTGGGCCACGGAGGCCGATGTCTGCCTCACCCATCAGTCCACTAGACTCAATGTTTCCGTTCCATTGCCGTCATTCCTAAAGATGCTTCCAATGGTCCCACTGAGTGGCATCTAGTGGGTAGCGAGACCAGGGATCTGATAACATGCAATGCACAGGGAAGACCCCCAAGATAAAGAACTATCCTTATCCTACCCACCCCCCTCTCCCCATCAACAGGGCTACGGTGGGAAACCCTGCTCATGGAGAAAGCACTGCGTCTTGGCCTGCCTCTTGAGCACTTCTTGAAACGTGAAGAAAAACAACAGCAGCTGCTTAAGCTCGGCGAGTTTGGTTTCGCTGTTACTTGCAGCAGAAAGCGTGCCGAGTGGCTCTCGCAGGAGAAGGACAGCCCTTGGGCATGAGCCTGCCCCTGGGCTGCCAGCAGGCAGCAGCCAGCCCTTCCTTGCATCTCACCGGGACTCTCCAGGGTGTCCCCGTGGAACCAGCTCCATCTTTGAAGCAGAGGGAGGAGGACAACCACTCTTTGGCTTCTTGGGCTAGAAGATGCCAGTCCCAGCTATCTCCTCTACCCACATCGCCAGTGGGATCAGCCGGGTCCAGGATCACGGGCCTGTGTGTGAGAGGAGGAGGGTGTTAGAGGAGGGCTTTCCAGGTCCAGAGACTGTCGACTTTGGGGCCCACTGGGCTCCAGCCAACAAGGAACTTGCTTCGTGCCCTTGGGATAGGTCATCAGGGGAAACCGGTCCCAGAGAAGGACATCGTGCTTGGTTAAGTGCGGGGCAGCGAGAAAGCGGACGGCCCTGAACAGGATGGCCTGAGAGAGTGGCTGCGGCCCTGGGCGCACGTATAAGAACAATGGTGAGCAGAGGAGTGGGTGCTGGGTACTGTTTCATTCTGTTGTACCTAGGGTGGCTGTGGGT